TGTGTTCACCTTTCACCTAGTTTTTGTGTAGTTGATAGGAAGTTCACAATTTTTTGGTGTAGAGCACTGCGCCGGTATCGTAGAGGTCATGGGTTCAAATCCCATACAGGCCTGAATTTTTTTTTCCAGGCCTTATTTTCACTACTGCTTAAGTAGTGTTCATTACTGCGAAGATCGCTTTGATATTCACGTCTTTATCCGCAGTTCACAAATATGATTTTCATATATTCACAGTCATTTATTCATTACTTCACGGGTTTAGATCGAACCAAGATAATGATCAACTCCTGGTTGGCTCGTTAGCTCAGCTGGTAGAACACTGCACCAGTATCGAAGAGGTCATGGGTTCAAATCCTGTACAAGCCTGAAATTTTTTCAGGCCTTATTTTCACTACTGCTCAAGTAGTGTTTATTACTGTGAAGATCGCTTTCATATTCACGTAGATTCAGCTATGTAGGAATTCTTTTAATATCTTGAATTTTTTATTTCCAATAAAGCGAAAATGGTTACTTCAAGAGGCCAAGGAGACCAGGACATTTAATAATCTGGTGAGTATATCTGTTGTGGTGTAGTTGAACTCATATGTAGCCCTTCTCTAATGAAATTATAGAAATTTAGTTATTCGTTTATTTCTCTATATTTCGCAGGTACACGGTATCTCTGCTCAAGAATCAATCAAACTATCAACCTAGGGTCGAAATATCTCTTCGTCCTTGTGGTGCACTCACGTAACGTTCAGTACGGATGGGCATGTTCCTGAAGACTGAAACATTTTTCTAAGTCTTCTGGCGGGAAACGTTTGTATGGCATATTTGAACTCTCTCTATCTTACTTTATAGTTGCCATGAGAAATGACCATCTCTAGGAAGAGACCGGGAAAAATGTCAACCTTGGAAGGGACGAAAAAAATTGGGGGGTCGATCCGCCATCATCCCCCACCACACCCGCCTCTTACGGCCAGTTTTTTTTGTAGTTTTTATAGAAGTTTAACATTGTGGTACGACATATCTTAGTAGGCATGCGTCCAACAAAACGCATGTGTACTAAAAGATGCATTAAACCACAAGGATGAACTCGTGTCAAATTACAAAATAACTGTCTATATATCGACCCCCGATTTTTCGTTCCTTCCTAGGTAGACATTTCCTTGGACTCCAACTTGAAGTGTTCATTTCATCGGTAAAGTCACTTGGAAGCGAAGAAAAAAACTATAGCAAGTAGAGACTTTGGAGAAGGCAGAAGTCTTCTTTAATATAGCTTTACTCTGCAACATACAACTAACTCACAATAGATCAATAAAAATTTTCAAATTGAAACCACTTTAAATCTACTGTAGTTTGATAGTTTGGAATGTTAACAAACTTCCCCTTCCTTTCCACGCCGGTACTTTCTTGGACCTTTCCTTTTCTCCTTCCCTTCTCTTAGAATCTGAAGGAAACTGTACAACACACACAAAATAAATCAGTTATCAGTCACTGCCAAACCAGTTAAAGTGTACTGTTTAAGAGTAATGAAAAACACGATATATATTTAAAAAAGAAACTGGAAGAGCTAAAGAAAAAACAACGTTTTCTGTTCTGAACGTTGAACAATAACACATCAATTATACTCACCATTCTCTTCTCCCTTGAGCGCCCTTTTAAACTTGAGATCTTTGCGTTATCGTCTTAAAATAGCTAAATAAGAACAATTATTTTACAATAGCGGCAACCACAGAAAAACAAATCAACATCTAGACTACAATTATACATCCTTCACCTGCACCATAAAATAGGAAGCTATGTAAACCAGGACGGCTATGCCGATGATAACGTGGTAAAACAAAAAAATATAATCGGCAGAGTAACAGCTAAGCAGGAACCCCGACGGCAAATTATGAATGCATCTCCTTAGGAGTCGCCGACACCTTCACGTAAAAGCTGAAAAGGAGGTCGGATGTTATTCAAGACGGTAAAGACTGCGAGCCACCCCAAATTTTAAGAAAAAAGCAAAGTCACTTTGAAATCAACTTTTTCACAATACGGAAAACTGGGAAAACGGAAATCTGTATGTGGCAAATGTAGACAATGGTCCGCCCTTGTTCGTAAGGTTGAAGTAAATTGTAACCACAAACATTAATTTTGGAAATAGGGAACGTAAAGATGATACCTCTTAGTCTGTATTAAATATAATTTCAATCAAATCCAAATCACAGTAAACAAAACCATACTCGGCCCTCCTCATTTTCTTTAGACGCCTACTTAAGAGCTAAAGTGATCTTGAGCCCATTTCCTTTCCCTCCGCTCCTTCCAAAATCTGAAAAAAATCGGAGATAGAAGGACGTCAAAACCTTTAAACTCACAACATTCATCAACCGAATAAACACGGAACAATGAAACACCATGGAAACCTCGAAGTAACACATTACATGCAACAACATGAAATTGTAACTATCACAAAAAAACAAATCACAAAACAAACAACCAAAACATTTATATGTAACAAAAAAACATAACATCAATGAACGCGTAACATGATTATGTTTAATCACATTTCTAAACTCCTCGCAACTCGTCAAAAATAAATTCTCAGTCTTAGAAGATGTGACGGTACCACAAACAGAAATTTTATAGCTATCATATTTAAATCAACGACACCAAAATAAATGTCTCTTAAAGTATCCCTGACAGTACTTTTCGCGCGCGCGGACTGGCTAGATCGGAGATGATTAGCAAAGCACTATTCGTCTCTGCGTTGACAAGATGACAAGAACTGCCTTTCATTCGCTCAGGTTTCAGCAGAGGACATTTAAAGACGAAGCCTCACCAGAGAACAAAAAAATGGCAACAACATTTGATTTACAGTGACATCAACCAAAAGTGACCTCAATCAAACGAGCTGACGGTGTCGAATTTATCATGCATTGCGTTAAATACTCTTGGAGTACTTTTTCAAGCATTGCTTACCTATTGATGAATGATAAGGAGATCAGCATGCGACTTTCAATTCACCCTTACACAAATTACAATGAGGTACAGTTAGTTTCTTCAAGCAATCCCCTATTTACCTGAAAGACATCAGCACACACGAGTTTCTTACGATCTGTGCCCCTCAATGTTTCAACGCACTATACTATAGCAGGGCGAGGAAGTATTGTAAGTCTCAAAGCTCAAATTCACTGCACTTGGAAATCGAAATGAAATAGCGGCACTGATTCCCAAACTACTGCTCCGAGCTTATTTCAATTCACGGATAATGTCCATAACTTTAGTGCATAGCGTCGCCCTAGTACCTCCTAGCGTCACCTAGCGGGTACATTTGTGGATCCATGGTCCGAACGCCCAGCCACTGAGACAACAGACCAGTCAGTCAGTCAGTCATTAAATCAGTCAGTAAGCCAGTCACACAGTGAGCCAGTCAGTCAGTCAGCCAGTTAGTTTTAAAGTGTTTCTGCCATTTAACCAATCAGTTTACAGCGTACCTCAGCAAAACAGTTTGTTTGTCTGTTGACCGAGCAGAAAGTCTGACACTACGTCAAAACACCTCAGTCAGTCAGTCGGTGCAACTCAGACAAACTGTCAGTTTAACCATCTGAGGAAATACAATACAGTCACTAGATCAAACAGACAGTCAGTCAATCAGTCAGGACGGCGCTCAAAAGTGCTTTTAGTCACTAATTTAGTCATGTTATTCATCAACTGTTCTGTAGGTCTGTCTCTTAATCCAAGAGGCTGATAGATGAACAGCTGGTAATTTAACCTGTTAGCAAGTCAGTAATGCAGAGCGAGAGCCAGTTAAATAGCCAGTAAAATCAATACCACCTTTCAATATAATAGCTGAAAAAATTGAACGTGTCTGTGAGTTTCACGTTCCATCTAACAATCATAAATTACATGGGAGAAATACAGTGTTCCCGTAGAACTGTCTGTCAATTTTTCTGTAGGATGTCAGAGCACAGACTATGATATTTCCACATACTCCCTATTTTATATTCTCTCTCTCTTTCCTTTGCCTTAATTATTTTCTCTTCTTTCATCCACGAGGATCACCTTACCTCAAACCTAAGAAGAAAAGGTCATAAGAATTTTCCACCAAAAACCCATTTATATAGATAAACAATTAAGCACAGCTGATTTGCTGATTGTTTCAATAGGCTTTGGAATATCTTTACGATTGTATCTAATCATTCAACAACTAATGCATTTTTCCTGAGAGGGACAAGCTTAAGACCATCTCTCAAGTTTTGGGTTTCAGCATTTAAAAGTCATACTCAGTTTATACTTGAGTAAATAAGGTATTTTCATTTGGTGACAACAGTAGGCCGACTCAAGAAATCTTAGTTGCCTTAAGCCTTTCTACCCTTGTACCTATTTTGTCTGTAATTATTACCAGTAATCTAATTGCAAAAGATGTGTAAAATAAAACGCGATGCTATTAAACTGCAGTTCATATATATGATATTCATCTATTCACAGTTGTTCAAAAGAAAAACACTGTGAGAGAAACAGTAGTCTGGAGGTCAGGTGCCCAGAACTCTGGGTCTATAGGTCCACTGTGTCATTGTAAAGACACTCTACTCTCACATTGCCTTTAGGACGTCTAAAATGGGTACTGGGAAAATGTCAAGGAAAGCTCTGACAGAGTGCTAAGGCAGCCTGAGCTCTTGCAGAATGGGCAATCTGACTTATAAGCTGACTTAGCCCTATTTTACCCACTTGAAATCTTGCGCCACCTTATAAACATACATTTTGTGCATGAAAGGTTTTTCATACAACTGAAGTTGCACCTCTGATATTGTTATTAAGTAAACATTCTCTTCAGAAAATTTTAAACCTTGAAAGTGAATATTACAAATATTTTGCTACCCATATATTGAACAGCAGGTTGTGCAATCCCCACCAAAACTCAGTGTACCTTCATTTTCAGAAGTTCTATTCCAATTCTCTTTGTCAATTTTCAGAAAAATATGTTAATCGAAAAAAAAAATGAGATTTCCATTAGAACTTAAATTTTGATTTAATCACTGGTAATCAAAGGTACATACCTTAATAGCCCAATAGCCATAGTTACTCTGTCAAGTCTCACCTGATAATATTTCATAGCTGAGAATGCCAGTTGCTAGCCTCAAGAAACGGTTTCTACTGTACATGTGTCCAGAGAAAGCTGAATTTGAGAATGATCTCCATTCCTGTTCTGAAGGAAAAAAATGAAGAGAAAATAAATATGAAAAGGCATAACAAAATGGCTAAAATAAAAAGACTTAGGGTGCAACCTCATGAAATTAACTCCTCAAGGAATGATGAATGACAAGGCAAATGTTTTTAGGGATGAAAACCAACTCTCTCACACTCTTCAAAAATGTCTGTAGTTCGCAATTCACTCAATTGTGTCTGTGAAAAATGGAAAATTCTTTGGTGTTTATTCCTCTCCCTAGGATAATTGGACCATTATTCAAACCACAGATTTAAAGTATTCACTCCCAAGAAATGTGTGTGACTCTAAAATTTTACTGGTCACCACCACAATGATAAAGCTGGATACCATGACAAACTTGTTACCTTCACAAGTCATGGGCAACAGAGGTAAATTCACTCTGCACAAAAATGGACTTATATTTTTGAAAGAGGGAAATTCTAGTATTTTATCAACTGTCACCATTCATTCATTTCAGGAAATAGAAGGTATTGTTTAAAATTGAGCCATGGTATTGACATCTTATGACTTATATAGTTAAATAGACCTTCATAAAAAATGGCAGCTCAAAATAGACACCAACAAATACAACTGCAAGAAAAATTGATACATAGTTCCACTCAACCAATGCTTAGTGTTTTTGCTGAGAAATGAAATCTAAAACTTTGTCATGCCTCTAAGGTCATGCTTCTAATGAGAAAACTGTTGTTGAAAAAAAACAAATGTCAGACTGTCTTTCTTTCAATAGCAAAAGTACTGCTGAAATAAAATTTGCTGTATGTACAGAATATATAAGGACTAATTGTACCTTGCTGCTGTGCAGAATCTTTTTTTTTTGTAATATAAATTTTAAATTCTGTTTGTTATTTGGAGAAGGACCTATCCAAACCTGGCTGCAGAGTGAAGTTAGTAGGTTCTAAGTTCCATACCTGATGCATGTGGATTCTCTAGCTATTCTTGGCTATGAGCGTTTTAGTATTTGGTAATTATAACACCATTGTATGATCTGATGAGCATTTCAGAGCATTTGGTCAAGATGGTTTGAATTTACTGAGTTTCAAGTAAAATCACTGAAATAATTCATTGAGGTTTGATAGAACAAGAAAATGAGTGTGTAGCTATGAGAGTATGTTAGGAACAGCATATTATAACGATAGGGAGTTTGCAGCATCCAGAACCTAAATTAGGACTACTTTCAGTAGAATCTGCTGCCTACTGATGGAGAAAGTCCTCTTTTCATTCCTGATGTAAAACTGGACAAATTAAATGACATCATGAGTTGTCTAATTTGCATTGACCCAGATATTTCAAAATGGAAAAATAGTTTTCAAGCTTTCATGGAAGTCTCTACAACAACCCCTTAAATTTCAAGAGATGAATATTTTTATCATAATAGCACTTCTCAAAAGCCATTTAGTATTCAGACTGCAGACCACAGTTCAGTCTGGATATTAAGTAATGACCATTATGTCAGACTTATGTTATGAACTTGAATCAAATTATTGCTAGATACTTACTTAAGAGTACCCAAAATATCTCAGCCAGTTGTAGAACTTAAAAATTCGATAATACAATATAAAAGTAGGCAGTAACTAGCAGTAGCAACAAGGCGCCATATTGCTTAGGAGAAACTGAAGTTTACCTCGACTCTGTATGCGCAGCACGTGAGCTGTGTGTGTGAACGACAATCGTTATTTCCTCTATTTCTGTATTTTGCAGCCATCGAATATATTTTTCTACGGTTCTGCTGTAACCAAACCGGGACACAATTTCTAATTCTTCCAAATTCCTCCAATCTTTCGCCGCCATGTTGAAATTTGTAAGTAGTTCTCAGTTTCTCTCTTTCATCATGAAAGGGGGACGAGATGGACGAGGCGAGGACTGTGAATAAAATTCGTTTCATGTGACGTGACCAGTATAACTCAAATCCTCTTGCGAATCTCTTTTAACTGCTACCTAAAAAGTATTTGCAACAGGGTTTCTTTGTCAACACACACCTTCAGTCACCTAGAAAAACCTAGTACTTTCACGATTCTATTTAGTGCCTGGAGCGTCTATTTACTCATGGTACCTCCAAGGGCCATTACTAAGGCCTCTGATACCTCCTAATGAGGACGCTTATTCTGAACAGGCCGCTTATTAGGGACAGGGGGCTTATTTCATTTTTTGAAAAACAGCAGAATGTGCTATAAACGCTTTGATGTTTATTCAAAAAGGAAAAATATCAGAAACTATGAGAGTAACAAATGTACAGATAATAATGATAGGGAATGTACTCTAGCGTCGCTATCATTAAAACAGAATAGGGGCGCTTATCGTAAGGAGAGTGCTTTTGCAATAGGGTGCTTACTTACAAATACAAGTCCGAGGGGGCGCTTATTAGAGCGAGGGCGCTAAACTGAATCATTACGGTAACTTCTGGACTCCACAAATTTTTAGTCAGTAAGGAGCATTTCGAAAAGGATCAGATATTATTCGCAGAGAAAACAGAAAAACATTTCGTTCTTCTTCTCCTGAATTGTAACGTTTCCTTTTCCTTTTTCCTCCTTTTAAACTCAAACTTATCATTTGGACGTAGAAGCAACCAGACAATGATATGACAAGTGTTTCGCACCTGAAAATTATTACTTTCTCGTGTGTCGGAAAATAGCTTGCAAACTTGCGCTGAATAACAAAGGATTAATGAAAGTTCTGTATTATAGCGAGTTCCCAGTGGAACGATTGAATACATTCAACTTTCTGAGGTTGAAATGGTGGTAGAGTTGCCGCTGGTCAAAGATACTTAAACTGAACTGGTGCAAATTTGGACGATTACAAATTGCTGGTTCACGATGTGTCTTGGAGATTATGGTTGATTCATTTTCAACGTTCTTAATGATCTTCATTTACTTTGATCTAAGTCTATGCGGCCCTGGGAAAGAAAATAGTAAGTGTAATAGCGGAAAGACGTGTATTAGAGGGTAATCTAACAAGGAGCGATTCACGATTCAAAAGTCATGGTCGAAGCAGATGCAATCTGGAATTTATAGCTAAAATTGTTAATCGTAGCACTTGCTCTAGCAGCATAAAAGTACTTTTTGGTCAAGATAGCGTAAATGTGATCTTGAGTTAGATGTAATTATTGTTTAATAACGTTTTATGAAAGTGGCATTTAAGTCTGTTCAACTGCTTTAGGCCGCTTAACAAGGCTCGTCTGTCAGCTTAGTTTAGTTGCTAGTTGACGATATAGATCGCAGTTTGGGGCACTGGGTCGAGTCGGAAATTGAACGATTTGCTCTTGTACCGACAAAAGTTGAATGTCTGCTCGTATTATGTTAGAAGACTCAGAAATATTTAGAACCTGAAAATAATTGGCAAAACTTCGTTAAACCAAAGAAGCCTCTGCTTGGAGTTTCATTCTAGTAAAGGGAAGAGTACCAATACTCAATTGCCTCGGTTAATATCCCCTCGGGGAAGGCGTGGTTTCCGTCAACATGATGAACAATAATGGAGTAGGACTCCACATTGGAAGGTCTGAATTCAAACCCCCGTATCATTGTGTTGTATTCCTGGCTAAAACACCTCTATTTTCACAGTGTCAAATCCACCAGGGATTTTGAAAAGGAACTTGTGATATGTCAGGGAAAGCGCTGTCGCAGTGCTAGGTAGGATGGATTGGCATCTCAACCAAGAAGAAAGACAAAATTACCCATGTCCTCATGCTACAAAGCTATGCGAGTTAGTCTCGCACAGTTTCGTGTCCAGCCTCATGGGGGTTCTTTTTCAGCACCTTTGAAGCGTACCTTATTTTCAAAGGCCAAAATGAGTTGATCAAGAGAATAGAATATTCTCTTAATTTGATATCATTCTTACTAGTTTTCAAAATTTTTCAACAGATCACGACGAATTTTCCAATTCAGTAAAGTACGACTGTTTCTCAAACAGTATCGCTATTTCGCTGACCAAGAATCGGCTCTCAAACTTCAATCACGCTTTATTTCACCTAAACAACGAATCTTGCACAGGACAGCAGATTAACACAACGCACATCAGATTACAAACTGAACTGAATGACTGTGGAACGCTCAAGCAAATTCTCGGAAATGGCTCAGTTATCTATACAAATCGAGTCTATGGATACATCAAGGGACAAAAAAATAAACCAGGGAGTGCTTCTAAAACATATAAAGTTAAATGTGTGAAACCGCACGATGCATCAGAAAGGAATGTATCCACCTTGAAGTATGATAGCGTTGTGCCAAACTTCAGCACCCAAGACAGCACTCTTTTTCAAGTTGGACATCACCACAAAGCTTTTTCGTTACAACAAAGAAATGGTAAGTTCTGTCCACGACCTCTTCATTAATATTGCGGCAGTCATTCATATATTAATGAAGTAGGAGAAACTCTCAAAATCAAAGTATATCTCTTAAATGCACAAGTTAATACTAGGGAAAAATTTTCGATTGAAAGTTCAAAGTAATCCAAAATTCATTGTCTTACTTCACTCGGCCGTATTTTGTCTGGAAAAATCTTGACCCGATCTTCCAACCAGTTAGATACAAAACCAACAATGAACGACCCGCGTTTTCTCGTGTTTCAGGCAGCTTGCTTGCTTCATTTTGTCGGTTTGTCTCTTGTGTTCGTGTTAGCTCCATTGACATTTTGGTTTTTTTGCACCAATCAGCAATTGAAATCACATTAGTGTACCTTAGTCCATCTCGGTTTGCCTCACAACACCAAATGCTTGTTCCGCGGCGTGCGCGTAATAAAATTCATTGACGCTTTCATTGTCCGTTTGGTCCTATTCCTGTCCTTCATATATTGACTTTAGCTTTTCTTTTTCGTTTTTTTTTTTTCTTTAATTTCATTCAGTAAGCCACTCTGATCCTCCTTCACCGATAACATACAAGACTAAAGAGATTGTACAAAATGGCGACGAAGTCAAGCTGACGGCCGAGTTCTCATCAAACCATCATGGAAAAAAAAATGGCGTTCACTTTATTGGAGTGGCAGTGGAAAACTGCCACACTTCCTCTGACGACAACTCCAGCAGTACGGATGGCACCACGGATGGCACCACGGATGGCACCACGCTTATAGAGAATGGGTAAAACTGCCATGCACTTAAGGCCAACTGTTCGCGCTTTACATGCATTTTTTATTTCAGCCTGCCGAAGTCTCAGCTGAAACAATAAGGAATGGGCTGGGTATACAAAATTAATTACGCATAAGTGCCCCTAATACAAGAAATTTATAGCGCTTTTCTACGTGATGTTTTTTTCAGTCAGTTATATTTGTATTTTTTGACTATTTATAGCTGTGTGTCAGCACCACGCCTGTGTGGTTACTTCTTCCAGCAAAAGTCTTCGTCCCAGACAATCACATACAAATTGTCTAGCTCCAAACACAAGAAAAAAGGAACGGTGTACATCCAGTGCAGATTCATCCTCTGTCAGCTAAATGACACAGAGCCTTTGTGCATTTTTGGCTGCAGACCAAACAGGAAATTAAAGGTGAACGAGACCCGCAGCGTTACGGTCAAAGTAGGACCTTTTTCCGCAAAAGAAGCCGCACTCGCAGTTGAAAGAAAAGGTTAGTTAACGACTTATATGCAATCATATGGCAGCTATGATTAACTACACTATTGCAGTGGTCTTGAAATATTTTACGCGACAACAAGACTGTGGAATAATTTCATTCAAAGACCTCTTTCAACTCGTCCTCCTTTCTAGTCCGTGCAGTGTTTTTACAGGGTTTTTAGTGCCTGTTTTTTAACTCGCACAAATGGCCAAGAAAGAATTTCCCTTATCAATACCAGTACAAAATCATTCAAGCAGACAAGTGATGAGAATGAAGAAAAATATCAGTTAGGGCATTATGAGGTGATTCAATACCAAGCTCTTAGATCTAAAATCATGAGAATTGTATTGTAAACAGTAGGGAGAATTTCAAATGAGATCTTGTGAGTGAAATGGTTAAAAACTTTTGTTGTCCTACTCGCTTGGCGCGCAGAGACGTGATTCAATTCTCAGTCAGGTTGAAAAATAAGTCAGTAGCCCTTCTCTCACCGAGTTTTCCAGAGTACGCAATACTTACCTCTTTCCAATATGTTTTATGCTCAAAGTATTGTGCATGCAATTAATGTTCTGAATGCTGCTACATTAAGTATACTTTTCGCTTTTTGTTTAACTTCCAGTTTCACTCATATTGCCAATTGTAATTGGGCTTCTTGTCCTCGTCGCTGCGGGTGTCTTCCTTTTCATTTGGAAGCGGCATCAAAGAAAGAGTCGCAAAGACAATTTAATATCTAACGAAGAAGGACTGACCGAAAGTGAGAGAGGATTCGATCTCAGCGATACCTCATTATTCGACGGAAATGAATCGCTGGAGGCTCCAAAGCAAGATGAACTGGATAGCTACGCAGCAATTGAAGGAAGAAAATTGTTTCTTAACATGGATTGGACCACTGTTTAGCTTTTTGTGGGAAACACCGTAGATTTGCTATTCTGAATAAAATAGGTTGGATCTCATTATGAATAATGGTGCAATGTACCATCACTTCAAAGAGAGGATGTACTACCGAACTTCAGTGTAGCCGGACAAATAATTTAGTCATAGATTCAAAATTTAGTTAGGATTGAACACTGTAATTGTTAAGAGTATGAAGATAATTTCCCATAAATCGTAGACCGTTGGTAAATCTGACTGATTATGAAAACCGGCATAAAATCAAAAATGAAAACAAAAGAGGACTGTGCGACTGCGTTCGATCGATCTTTTGTTTTAGTCTCTTCATCCTGGGTCGTGTGTTGATGGGAATATTCATCGGGTCAGTCAGCTCAAAATGATACTATCAATTGTTGTGTGCGGTAAAAAATTACACACAAAAACTAACAAAACCATGTAAACAATAAATTTTTCAAGTTTAATTTTCTTATCAGTCACCTATACCAACAATAGTTCCATTGAAAACCACCTAAGGTGGGTGGGGGTTTCCACATAGCAATAATAAGAATGCCAATTATTTGTCGTACGTACGATTTACAGACTGTTATGCCATGTAACCTTTTTAATGATCGTATGAATTTTTTTTTCACAATTTTTAACTGATTGCAATTTCGTAATAAAATTAGTTCGCAAATCAACATATGAACAATGAGGATTGAAAATTATTTGTCTGTCTCTTCACAACAGTACTCACGCCGTGCGCGTGCAGTCATTTTCGCGCGAGTTTTGGTGAGAAAATACCCCAAGTGCTACACTGACCATAAGAAGGATAAAAAAAGAGCCTCTTTCCTTAATTTTGCAAAATTCCGCAAGGAGAAAGCCAAGAGGGAATAATTAATCGGCTTTAACCCAGATCTCTCTCTCCTTTGACCAGACAATCGTAGAGGATCTGGGACTGAAACTAGATTAAAATGGCGGCCGATGATTACTTGAACGAAATGCGACGATACTTTGAAAATAATAACCGCACAAAGGACTTCGTTGCTCACACAGCTAAGGTTTGATAAAAGAAGACTTTTTTTATCTTTTATCTAGTGATATCTGGTATAGAGATCTTTAGAGATCTACTTTAACTCGAAATTCGATCTTTTGTAAGAAATTGACAACTATTAGTTCGATTTGTCATTTTGCACGACTTTACTTTAGGTTCATTCAGTTGCATGGAGCTCCGATGGTAGAAGACTCGCATCAGGATCTTTTGATAGAACTGTTAGCATTTTCGTCTTGGAAAAAGATCGATTGGTAAGCAGTAATACTGTAATGTGCCTCTTTATATTACTTTGTGTAATCATAACGTGATCAGTTTTCACGAAACAGACGCACTCGCTCCATTAACTGAAAACGAACTTCTCACCTGGCTCTGACAATTTTTTTCCCGTTCAGGGATTTAATTTCTTCTTACACTACTACCCCTGGATCATACATTAAGGTCACAAGAAGAACTGAAATATTCACCGACTTAAGAAGCTCTCGATTGTTAAACAAATTGTCCTTGTCAGTATTCTAGGAAATGTATAGAGAACGGTACGGAGGATATGCAAACTGATGTAAGGGTGTAAGGGGTTAATGCATATTTACTGGTTTGACTTAATTAGTCATATTCTGTTTTAGACAAAAGAAACAACCTTCAAAGGTCATGGTGAGAGTGTTGATCAGCTCTGTTGGCACCCCAGCAATCCAGATCTCCTTGTTACAGCATCAGGAGACAAAACTATCCGAGTATGGGATGCTAGAGGTAAATAACCTATAACACCTCTGTTTCTGGGTTTATGTCTAGTAATCTTCTAAATCATAGCAATGGTCAGATCAAAGTATGCTAGAAAACAGCAGATGCAAGGGTGCACTCCATGTAACGTAACTTCAACTCCAAATATAGCACAAAAATTTTAGAAATTTTAATCCTTACAAAGTACTTGGCGAAGCCAGGCCAACTGCCATTTATGATGGTTGTATCTTATTACCACATTGCTCCAAAAGAGGAGCCAGAGGGAGAGAGATCTGAAGCCTTTGAAAACACTCTTTTTTTGCATCACAGCAAATATCTTGGATTATTAAAACAGAAGGACAGCTATGTCAAAGCTTAATGAGTTATGTAAAACTCTGGTCAGTGAAATGTTGACTTAAGTCACATTCCTATAGTAGTGGCTTTGCCATTTTACATCATTCTGTTGTTATGCTTGTCTCTCTCTGTATACTCAGAAATTGTATCCCAGGCCAGTATGTGAGAAAGTTTTAAAATTCAGGCTGGCTATCATCAGCATCAATGTCCTACACTTGATGCGACTTGGTTGTGAAAACTAGCCTTTAAGCGGCAACAAAATTGTTGACACATAGATCTTTTCCAACCCCCTATTCAATTTTATCTCTTTTGCCCTTGTTAAGTGAACTTATGAGCCCTCTTCCCCCTCTAAAAACAATGAAAATTTAGCCAACATTGAATGGGGTAGTGAAGAAAGGTTATTGTTGAAAAATATTGACCCTCTGAAAGGTGTAATACAAAATGTTATAGTTGTCATATTTTAATTTACAGCCACCAAGTGTGTATCAGTAGTAAATACCAAAGGAGAGAATATAAATATTTGTTGGAGTCCAGATGGGAACACAATAGCAGTGGGAAATAAGGTATTACAGTTTAAAATAAAATAATTATACACCAAGGCTGTCCCACCACTCATGATTAATTGGTATTGATGGTGCAACATTTGCCACTCCAGTTTCAGACACCTGTATGAAGGCAGTACAATGGTGTGGTAAGGCCGCTGGAGTCATAATCTAGTGATTGTTGATTCATTTTGTGTTCCCAAGTTCAAATCTTTGGCTGTTCCCTTTTCCATATCCAGCTGGTCTAAACCCCAACAACTAGGATGGTATTTAACTTCATGCATGTCTTTTTTTGAAAAACTTGTTTCTTTGCTTAATTACAGTGATCCTGATCAGCACCTTTGGGGGGAGTCGTAAATTCAGTGTTAATTTTTTGTTGTCCTCGTCTGGAAAAATAATCCCTTTAGGGAAGGAAACTGCTTTTAAAGCTTGTTTTAAGTTTATCAAAATTGTCATAAATGTAATTTTTTTTAACCACTCTTGTCCCTAGGAAGACCTTATTACATTTATTGATGCAAGAACATTCAAAGCAAGGTGTGATGAACAATTTAAATTTGAGGTGAGATTTTTGAATATCGAGCCCTAATTTTCAAAATTGAAAAAAAAAACAAGACAAAAAAAAAAAACAGGTATTCTGATATTCAGTTTTCCTTTGATCTAATTTCTGTGAATATTGATAAATACAGGAAATAGAACACTTAGGTTTCTATTTCGCACTCTTCATTGTTGTTCATAATAACTAATGAATATTTTCTTTTGAAATTTTATTTCAGGTTAATGAAATATCATGGAACAACACCAATGATCAATTTTTTCTCACTAATGGTCATGGGTGTATAAACATATTAAGGTAAATGGTGATGATGCTGCTGGTAACAACTCCATAAATCAATTAACGCTGCCCTTGAATTAACACGACCCCCAATCAGAAAATTGGAGCATTTATCTGATTATCTAAAAATCTAAATTTCCAAGTGTTGTACTAATTGGTAATCTACACCATGAGGTGGTAGTTGTGCAAAAAAAAAAATTACTGCATCCATTTAAGGCATCCAGCAGGGGGCAATATGTTTTTTTTAGTGTTATTTTTGTTGGTAAATAGAAGGGTAATGTTTATTATTATTGTTTAAAACAATAATAATGCAGCACAAAATTAAATAATTAACTATGTTACTTAGACGGTTAAAGTATGGCCCCTCATACACATGTTCAAATGAACCCACCTCACTTCTTAGGCCTTCTTTGTTAATCTGTTAAAGAAAAGGTGAAAAAACTTTCTAGATGAGGGATTTTGAGATCATTACTGTAGACGCATATCTAGAGCAATTTTCAAATGGGTGTAGAGAGTGATTCAGAATTGCATTAGTTTTGCTTAACTTTGCTTTGTGATTGGTCTAGAAAAGACCCCCAACCTCTCAACCAATCAGATGCCAAAACTAAAACTAATCATGATGTGGTCACGTACATTTTCCCGCGCGTTAAGTAGTTTGTGTGTTTTTATTGTGATATTTGTCTTTGGTCTGATTGGCCATTTTGACTGCTTTGTTTATGTTTTTATGACATTCAATCCAAAAGCCATCTAAAGCCTGAACTCTATTTTCTTTAGTTATCCTGAGTTAAAACCACTGCAAACATTACACGCTCATCCTGCCAACTGTATATGTATAAAGTTTGATCCTAAAGGAAGGTGAGTGAAGCTTCACCTAGAGAAAAATAGAATCTACAAAGTAGGGCCAGGTAACGTACAACATTTTGTAACAACACTGTATTGTGAATGAAAGACAAAACTTAGCTACCATTAAATTTGGCATCACTTAATTATGGTGCATGATGTGATTAAGGTATGTGTCTTTAAATAATGCCTCCTATGAAAATCTTTAACTTGTTTTATGGAAGTCGGAATCCTCGTTATGCTTATTAATAATAAGGCCATCTACGTAGACAAACAAAGCGGTATGTTTTATAAAAAACTACGCATGTGCAATGCATTCAACTGAAAAAATTATGTAATAACCTGTGACTTTTGCTCTGAATCTTTCACAGATACTTTGCTACTGGAAGTGCCGATGCTTTAGTAAGTTTGTGGGATCTGGATGAGCTGGTTTGTGTTAGAACATTCTCGAGATTAGAGTGAGTAACAACGCTAGAATTATTATCAATTGAGTGTCTTTTAATAAGTAACTCGGAATTGCGTTGGTTTGCACTATGACGCTCTGTGATTGGTCCAGGAAACTCGAGCTACCCTCTCGAGCAATCGGATGCAAAATTAAAACCAATCGCGACTTGGTCTTCTGCATTTTCCCGCGCTTTAGACTGGTTGTTTTTTCTTTAAATACTGATTGGCTTCTTGTCGTTTTTACTGACTAACTTTCGTTATGCGGCTGCTGCGGCCGCTTTATGCACGATAGTGCGTTCATGATTGGCATTTTAAAACCCTATAGAGATATGAATCATATTTGTTACGAGCATGGATTCCTGAGTTCCCCGTGAACATTCGAATTGAGGCCAGTTCCGATATCCCTTCCAACAAGCAAGGGAGAGCTCACTTGCTACGCTCACCTGATCAGCTATGTTGAAAGAGACGTGTGTGTGGGAGTCAAGAGACTGAGAAGGACGGTAAATTTTGAGCTCGGCCTCGTCGAAGCGTAGATCTTGTATTCAGGCTTTTTTCTCGATTTCTCATGTATCTATATAATCCTCTATCGTTACTGATTTAAGCTTCCATGATAAGTCCCAATGTGGCATATCAGGTCTTTTACCGAAACCTTGTTCGTAGACTGTATCTTTAACACGGAGGATTAAATTCTATCTTAATTCTTTGTGTTTCAGCTGGCCTGTAAGAACGCTCAGTTTTAGTCACGATGGAGGGATGCTAGCGTCTGGTTCTGAGGATCTCATTATTGACATAGTGGGTGTTGAGGATCAGATTGTTCTTTTGGCTTGATGTTTTGCCTCTTTCCTTCCCACCAGTTTATCATACTTATCTGAACAATATTTTCACACCGTATTGGAACCGCTAGACAGCCTTACCTTCTAGTGTAACACTGCATATTTTTTTCCAGGCGATGGTTGAGACAGGAGAGAGAATATGTGAAGTACAATGCAATGCTCCAACATTTACAGTAGCCTGGCATCCTCAGAAACCTCTTTTGGCATTTGCCTGTGACGATAAGGTG